TATATATATAATATACTAATAAATTATGAAATTAGTACCGTATTATTAGTTTATTACTCTTAATCACTTAAATTTTAACAAGTACGCGAATTTCCATAAGTGCCGAGGATCTTTAATAGTATCTCGTTGGTGTTATATCAGTCAATTTTGATTTTATTATTTGTCCTCATCTAACTCACGTAATAGCATGGAAAAGAACCACAAAAACGTGGACATTACCCTACGAGGTACACGAAAAAGATTGGAATGTCCACTTTCAAGTTTCTCTCTGTTAATATCTCGTTGGTGTCAGTAGCATCAACGTAACAAATTTACCTATGCAGTTTTCTCTCTTAACCTTTCGCCATAATCCGAGACCAGCACAATACCAAGCACTACCCAAAATACCCAGATTGCTCTGCGGTTGTGCTGCGTCGGGGGTTTGTCTCCGAGACTACTCAGACTACCTGGTTCTACCGCCATCATCGCGAGAAGAAGCGACACAGTGAGAGAGGTTGTCAGGTTCATTTACGTCGGTATTTCTCTCGCATAGCAGTTACGTTTCATCACAAGCCGCACAAATGAAGATGGTGGATAAGATTGAAATGAGTCTAGATGATATTATTAAACAGACCAAAGGGTCTAGGACGCGCGGCGGCGGAGCAAGCGGTAGACGCGGCAGAGGCGCTGGGAGTTCACCTCGTCGAGGAGCACGTAGGGTACAGAGAATCACCGGTGGCGGCGTCATGCGAGGACGTAATCGCGGTGGAATTGCACGCAGCTCTTTACCGTATACGAGGGTAAGATACGAGGCTAAATTTTACGATTATTGAATTCTTTAATAGAGCACTATACTTGTTCATTTACTTGTACTTGTGCGCGCGTGCACGTGTGTGCGCGCGCGCGCCTGTGTGTGTGTGTGTGTGTGGTGTGTGCGCGTGCGCGCGCGAGCGCGTATGTGTGTGTGTGTGTGTGTGTGTGTGTGTGTGTGTGTGTGTGTGTGTGTATTTGAGATTGAACGTTGGAACATACAGTATGACTTTGAAGTACTTACCTATATACGACCATTTATTAAAAAAAAAAAAACGATGTATCAGCTATCAGCTGGAAATATTTTATTTGTCTTTATTTCCTTTTTTTGTTTATTGTTTACGTATATTTATTAATTTCTTATTCGTTTGTTTATGTTTTTATTTTCAATAAATTAATAAATTAAATATTAAGTTGATAAAAGTTTTTTTTATTATGTTATGATTTTTAATAAGAAAATATATAATGTAGTTGTAATTAAATGAGGTGTAGTTAAATGAGATTTCATATCATCTGTGAGACGTGTGTAGTTGTTGTATTGATTACAATATAATGAATAAAAGTTTTTTTCAATAGGTCTAGTTCTCTTTGATAGAACAATAAAATATTATATTGTTAATTGAGGAAATGCCAATAAACAAAAAAAGAAATAGCAAAAAAAAAGGTTTTGGTATTTGATAAAGAATATAATACTTTTCCAACACATTAATTTATATTTTGTTATACAGGGAGATGTAAACAGTGCTTGGAAACATGATATGTTTGATGGTGTAAAAAAGGTTGGTCGTGGTGCAATAGGCAGTGCAGGAACGACCAAACTTTTGGTATCAAATCTTGATTTTGGTGTATCAGATTCAGACATACAGGTATTAGAATATTGTAAAATAATTTTTTAACAATATTGAACATGTTGAGCATCACATAATTTGATATTATACTCCATGAATTCATTTTCCTTTTTGAATTTTTAATTATCTATATAAGGATATCTCTTATAATAACATTTGTAAGTAATAATATATCCAATAATAAAAATACTTAGTCCTGATTAAGTTAGTGTATTATAAAATTAAACAACTGGCTAAAGATATTTTTTAAGAATTAGATAAAACAAATTTAATTTATATTGATAAACTGTGGTATGTACTATATATATATATATATAGTACTAAATATAAAAATACATAACTTACTGGATACATCAACATGCAAATTCTCCAAAATGGAGATAAAAAAATGTTTTTGACTATGTAACCCTCAATATGTTAAATTTTTTGTAGATTTAATTTTAAAAAGAACATTTATAAAAAAAAGTTTTATAGAAAAGTAATTATAATGATATCTTTTAGGAATTATTCAGTGAATTTGGACCTTTAAAATCAGCAGCAGTACATTATGATAGATCAGGTCGATCTTTAGGCTCTGCTGATGTCATATTTGAAAGACGGGCAGATGCTATTAAAGCAATGAAACAGTATCATGGAGTTCCATTAGATGGTATGTATTTACATTGTATTTGTATTTACATTACATTTGTGTTGTATGTATTTTTTCAATTATAGATTTTGCTTATATTTAGGTAGTATTATTTATTAATCCATTGTTCAGAAAGTGCTTGTGCTAAAAAAAATTTGTGGATTATGATATACATCGCATATATAGATATTTTGAGCATCTGTCATTCCAATATATAATTATGTTGATAGGACGTGAAATGAATATACAAGTAGCTACTTCTGAATTACCAATCACTTCTGTTCGTGGCCCGAGACTTAGCGGTGTTAATTATACACAAAGACCTCAAGCACGTTTTAGGGGAAATCGCGGTACAGGATCTATTAGAGGTAACTCATTAATGCAACTTAATATATATTATTCTAAATTGATTTATGCAAATTAAAAAAATAACAAAATTGATAGTATCAAAGACATAGTTATATATTTTTTCTATGAGTTATAATTGTGTTACATAAAAATATATTTAGCAATTTTTTATTAATTCTTACAAAATATTATAATTTTGTGGAATTTAAGGTCGTGGAAGTGGAGGTCGACGTGGAGGTAGAGGAGGCACTCGACAAACGACAAAGACACCTACGGCTGAAGAATTAGATGCAGAACTGGAAGCTTATGTGAAGGAAGTCAAGTAACAACGTTATAAAATTGCTATATTCAAATTTTGTTCAATGTGACTAACACAATACACATTGTTGCTATTTCTTTCATGAAATATACAGTTATAAATCTAATCCTATACGAATTTAGTAAAGTTATACAAAAATTAACTTAGTTTTTATTTTTGACGATTCTTTCAAAAATTGGCACAGCAAATTTTACAAAATCTTTGCGAACATTGTAGAAGTTCATAGATTTTTTTCATAATATAATGATGCAAGAAAATTAAGAAAGAACATATTTACATGAATTGTAAAGACTGTATGAATTTGTATGTACTACCGTGCGTGTGTGCTCACCAGATGAAAAATATAATGAGATACATCTCGAAAAGTTGTTGTTTATCAAAGTACGGAATGTGCTTCTAGCCCTCACAATCTGATTATTCCAAATGCTATGTCAAATATCAGAAATTGATTTACAAAATCCATCTTTAGGATAATTTACTTAGGAATCTTAGAATGCATAATGTCAACACTTTTATGTAACTATGTGTCCGGAATCTCTAACTTAAACATAAGCATTATATGTGTAGTATATAATTAATAGTGGATTAAGGCTGTGACATACTGTTAACTAGTCGAATATTGACGATATTTAGTGCACAGATGGATATGTAAGACCATGTATACATTTTTGATCATGCAGCGTACAAATAGCAGTCAAACTAAGTGGCGCAAGACTGAAGAAAAACTATCACCAGATTCTCTTTTAATAAAATATTTTTAAAAGAAAACTTTTATTATCCATCGAAGAAAAATTCCTAATAATTTTAGTCCTTTCACCCTATATTTGATCCTATATTTTTTTTCTTCATAAAATATCTAAAAATATATTGTGATATCTGTTAAAAAAATACAGATATATTAAAATGTATAAGTTGGTAGAAGGAAAAGAAGCAGAGGTATATGTACAGAGAAAGAGATATGCAATCATTGGGGATATACATTTATCAAAATTGAAAACTAAAAAAATGCTATACACATAGGAGACATTTTCTTTATTTTACTTAAGTAATCACAAGTATATTATTCTGTACATATGTAAAAATATTTGCTAATAGATAGTATAGAACAGATTTCTAATTCAGGCTATGATTGTACAGATTACTACAGAACACTAATCTTCTAGGGAAGGTGGGAGATCAATTTTTTCTATTATCTTTTTCTTATTTTTAATGTATCTAGACATATTAAATTCTCTACATACTTAATAATAAGATCAGTCAAGTTTAGATAATAAAATTTTACTATGCAATAATAATTGTATACAATACGAGGCAACATTATCATATTATACTAATATTTTAAATTACAAAAGACAGAAGAAATAATATTAATTTTTTTTATAGTCTCTTCAGTGTCCTCTTCTTATCTTTTAACATTTTTTTCTTTTCCGCTGTTAGTTTCTTATCACTTGCATGTTTTTTTGGAAGGGGTCCTCCACTGTCTGAAGAGGCACAACTTTCCAGGCCCGCCTTGCTTCCTTTTCCACCTCCCTGAAAAAATAAAAGTTTCATAAAAATAAAAATTATATATAATGATGAAATTGCGAAAAACAAATTCATTTATCGAAATAAGACATTACTTGTGCATGTATCTCAGTCATCATTTTTGCTCGCTCTGAATATTCGTCATGACTTTCTAAAAGCAATTTGCCAGCTTCCTCATTCAAAGCAGATTCTGGATTTGGCACTATTAGTAGACATTTTACAGTCTAAAAAATATAAAAAAAGAAACGTAAGAATACATAAGCAAGCATTTACAACACATTGTGCTTTAATGCAGATCACTTACTAATAATATATGTTGTATCCCAAGATCTGGTTTCCAATCCTTTTTTAAAGTGTTGACACATATTTCGCCATTTTTTGCTACATTAGGGTGAAAAATTTTTGTAAGAAAGTAAGCCTTTGGCGGTCCCTGTGGAAAGTCCTTTCCAAGAACTAATTTCACTCTAAAGAAACCACTGGCGTATGGAGTCCCCGCTATTAGAAAGAAATATATAGATATCAATATGCTATATTATTATTTTTAAACCTTGACTATTATCATTAGATCTTTTGTCATACTAATTCTATAGTTGAATGAGCATAGAAAAATTTTTATTTATTCAAGCAGTTATTTTTATTATATTTTGTTGTAGTGTTGTTAAATGGATATGTTTTATAAACATAATAGAATAAAAAGCATTATATTTTCATTTATATACTTGTTTCTTACCAATATAGATTAACTTCAATCTCAGTTCAACTTATTTTTTTCTTTTTCTAATCTTTAGAACTAGAAAAATATAAAGAGCAAGTTAAACCGAGATTAAAATAAATTGGTATTGGTGAAAATAAGCATTAAATCTTTATTTATCATATTATTGTCTTGCATAAAAATCAGTGATATACATTTTAGAAAATATTTCTAATTTCTCTATATCTATTTTATTCTAATCATCACATTATATCTGTAAAACACGATGATAATGACGTTAATCAAGGTTAAAAAACTCATACGAGAAGAGTTGTACGTTCTCGACACAGTCGAGTGACATACACGGATATCAGCCGAGATAAAAGGTGTTATAGGGTTAGGACGACGACCAGGTTAGGTTAGGTAATGTATAGTCGATAAAAGTACGCTTTACTCGGAGATAATCAGTTTTGTCAACGAGGCTAAAAGAGCAAGGAAGCGAGAAGGTTAAATGAGACAACCAATGTTACCTGGGCCTTCGATGACGGCTTGTATGTCGGTGACATCGGCCTCGTTCAAAATGACACGAATACCTTCAGGTGTTTGCGCGGCCAGCTCTGCCATCTCCTTGGCTACCCGGCGGATGATTTGTGGCGACAGATTTTCCACATTCTGTAAAAACGCACGTATCAATCTCACACATGTTTTAGCGAGGACGATTGAAACGCGCAGAATGTAAACAAGAAAGCGGTTCTTGTTATATATGGTCGCGGTGACGATTAGTGGCCGCGGCGACGGGGCATCGCGACGAACGAATGTTGAATTGTACGTTTCCGCGATAGCTGACCAGCGGAAGATTACTATTACTCACGGAGCTCACGGCGGCAGCAGCCATAATCGCCGTAAATTCGGAGCGTGATCTCGCCCAGGCCTCGCGCGCAGGCTACGCGATTCTCTCAGCTTCCCGGCGCACGGCGTAGGAAAACACTTAACGTCACAACATCAGCACGGCATCGCCTGCATTAACCAACATTTTGAACTGATAGCCAATCGCGTGCCAGGGTACTCTCGATACCAGAAGTCGATCCTTCTTCCCCCTCGCCGATCATTGCGCCGTCGTCGCCGCCGCCACCGCCACCGCCGCCGTACGATCTGTCCTCCGGCTTGATTTGTGCATGTTTTTTTTTAACTTGAAAGCGCGAACGATACGCCAGCTCAACGAATAGATTCTAGACTATTTTTCGTCGCGACTGCAGATTGTAGTTCAGGATGACGATACGTAGTGGATAAATACGGAGTACGGAACCGCCAGTGGAAAGAGACCATCTTCTGTGTTGCTGTTGATTGACTCCTACGCGTGTCGTACATCTTCCCCTTCAGATCCTCACCGCTATAAAGCGAATTAAAACGCCGCATTTATCACAAATCTCTGCGTGATGACGGACGACGGGATGGTTGAAAAGGTGAGTACGACTCGATTCTGTCAGATTGTGAATTGGTGATTTGGAATCAGCAAGGACACACGTTTTTGTGAAACGACACGCGCTTCTGTAGCCTGGTAAAAAAATCAATGACAGAGCAGACACGATCTCGTTGGCTGATAATATGCGATATTATCGTAGGAAAAACACATGAAGCAATTGAAGCGAAAGATGGAATGCTGGCGGGAGATAATCCTGCCTTTAAATTCTATTCTCTTGTGGGAACATAGCTGGCATCCTGGGTTAATTGTCGGGATTGTAACAGTGATATTCTGGTAAATGAACCAATCTCATAAAAATGAAAATTGTTTTTAAAGTATATGTATTTGTGCGTATATAAGTTTGTTTGCATTGCATGCACTTTTTGTGTATTTAGTAGCTTTGTTTCCTCTCTTTTCACTATTCAAGTATTTCAAGTTCATTTTGTTTCAAGTATGTAAATTTTTGAAGATCGTAAGCAATGAAAACAAACTTTATATAAGATAAAAGATTCGAATAATTGGACGTGTACCTATGTCTGAACACTTACACAAAATTTATTATTATTAATCTGAAATGCTTTTTTTAATTACAATATTAATTTAATTGTATTTAAAAGTTACAATTAAATTATGAAATTATATTTAAAAATTTAATAATAATGATAAGAAATATATAAATTATATCACTAAATGTTTTTCTATTGCTAATTTTTTGTTCAATTTCAAATTGATTTCTTCTAAATAAAAATTTTTGAACATCTACAAGAGTTTCTAATCGTTAATAATTAAAAAAAGCAGATGGTGGATTAGTGTGATTAATTTTATAAATAATTTTTAATTGAATAGGTTTAAATAAGCTTTAAACATTTACAATTTTAATGTGATTTATGTATAAATTATTAAGATATATGTTATATAAAAAATCAATAGAATACATTCACACTTAATATACTTGTTTTAAAAAAGATTACTTTTGATTTGATCAAAAAAAGTTAGATTTTAAACATTTGATAGCTTTGGAATACTGCTGAATGTAAACTTGTTGGAAGTATATGTGTAAAATTACTAATGTTTCTCTTATTGCAGTACTATATGGACTCTAGAACCAGCTCTTCTGACGATGATATCTGTATGTCTATTAGTATTCGCTCTTGTTGATTATCTTGTGCCGATTTTGACTTCGGTATTATGCAACGCACAAAGTTGGACTGGACAGAAGGAGAAGAAATTAATTGAGATTTGTCAAAATCTCTCTACCACTATATTGCAATTGCGAAGTGCATGGACGTCTATTTCGAAAATTCGACACGATCGTCCCAATATTGTAAGTAAATTATAAGTGTATATCTATAAAAAATTAAAAGTTTATTGTTTTTTTATATGAAAGATAAATCAGATAAATATATTTTTTAAGAGATTATTTTATTTTACTTGATATTTGTTATTATAAAATATTTATGGAATATTTTATATTTTATTTTCACATTTTAAAAGTAAAAAATTACGTGTAGTGTTTTTCTTATTTTTATTGCAGTATTACAGTGCAACGATCCTCTTTCTCATTCTTTTCGCCTGGATCGGTAACACTGTTAATAATTTGCTTCTGCTTTACATCATAGGTAACAAATTTCTACCATTATTTTCTTTATCTGTTTGTATCTGTACTACTTTTAATGATTTATCTGATTTATTTTTTAGTGATCGTGGTTCTTCTCTTGCCAGGATTCAGACACAAAGGACGAGCGCGCTGGGCTGTGAAATATGTATATGATCACTTAATTCATCGTCATCTATCATAATCGTTATTTTGTATGTATCTCGTGCCCACCGAAACTTGTCGTTTTACATACTTTTAATCCATGCTCTCTCAATATAAATTTCTTCATAATACTATGATATGATATACGATTTTAAATATATTCACTTAATGCGCGTGTATATTTACGCGTGTATATTTACGCGTCAGTTTAAGAAGAGTAGTCAAAAAGTCTTCGCTTCTATCGATACAAATTTCTATCGATACAAACAGCTGAGATTTAGTTACACATTTTGATTTCATTGTTGATGCCTACTGTGTCTCTTTTGTCATAAGTATCTTACAATTAGCAATGAGCTAATTGTTAAATGTCTTAATAAGACGCCATAATGTTTCATCTCAGAAATATTCGTATTATAAATATAATTAATATGGAATTATGTTAATCTCTTTGAGTAGTATCGATCAAAACACTTCTTTTTAAATTAATAATTGAAATTTTTTTCTATCTTGGATTTTAGTAAAATATTATAAAATTATTAAAATATTATATTAGTAATAATATTATTATTAACATTTTATAGTACTTATAATATGAAGAAAATGAGATGAATGTCACGTGTTATGGGCCTTGATAACAAGCATCCAACATGTTGTTAACAGTAAGATATGAATGGCAAAAAAGGGACAATAGATATCGACAATAAAATCATTAACAAATGTGGAATTAAATCCCAACTCTAATATAAAAAAGATCAATATAATGTAATGTATAGTCCGCTAAAGAAAAAGATATAATTATACTTTCAAGAAGCATGATATTTAATATCGTATTTGTTAATGTGATTTTGTATGTTACATAATAAGTCTCAATTAATTATAATATTTATAATCATAAGTTTATCATACTATTTCGTCACCTTCAAGAATTAATAAAATTGTTCGTCCAATTTTAGTTTAAACTGTTTTACTTAAAATTGTGTACACAGCTTTCTAATTACCATTTTTTCTCTGTAGGATAAAATATATCTGTTAAAATATTGCTTTGTAAGTAGAAATCCTTTGATAGATGTTAAATAATATCAGATTTAAAATTAGCGATAATTTTTGTGTTATAACAAAATTAAAAATGATCATTATTAAAAATCGAAATGTTTGTTAATCTTATTAGATGATAATTTGTTTATTAATTTATCATCTCAGACCTACTTTTTATGCCTGTAATTTTATAATTTAAATCAATAAATATTTCTTAAACAAAGTTTAAGTTTGCGAGCAAACTTCCAGAGATTCCAAAAAATTTTATTTGCTTTGTGGTTCTCTAAATTCATATTTTAAGAAGAAACAAAATAATTTGAAAGGACTCTTAATCTTTAAAGTAACAACAATAAAGAAATTAAAGGCTAATGAAAATCAGCACGAGAGGAGGAGATGCATTTTCGCTGATCATTGTAGATTTGAGAGACAGTGTTTTTTGAAACTATTGGAGTGCAAATGCCGTTTTATTGTAGATATGTAGAGATGTAGACATTGTGATGGCGATTCTTTCTAATTTAGGATTTCGGTTGTTACACCTTTTGGTAAATTTTACTGTGAGATAAATCTGGTAATGTCCGCGTATGTGATTGGGTAATCTTGCTATTTCTCAACAGGTAAAATTTAGATAGAACAATCGGCCCTTAATCACAAACTAGAATAAAATAAAGGGCTTGTGGCTCCAGCACACCAGCGCGATGTTAGCTACGCGACACGCGATATCCAATGACAGTATACCTTTAGAATGAGAATATCGGTAAAGCTGTACATTCATTGGATATCGCGTGTCGCGTGTGATGAACAACGCGTTGATGTGTCAGAGGCATTATGAGGTCTTTCATTCTAATAAACATTAATGGAAGATTTTTTTGATAACCATTTAAAGGACTTCATGATGAAAGTACTTAATTCTGCACACATAGAAAAATAATTCGTAGAGTGTCTGAAGATAAATTTAAGGAAGCCTTAAATATAAGACCTGACTATGAATACGGGCATTAAAGATAATTAAAAAATATACATGTATCTACAAAAGTCATTTATTATATAACTGGATGAGGATGCTATAAAGATGTAGAGTTCCTATAATGGCTATAATAAAATAAGAGTAAACGCCAAAATAATACAATAAAATAAGAGTAACTGTCGCCATGTACAGCCAAATTAACGTTGGTAACACTGATTCTGTCAGTAAGTTGGCTACGACTGACATACATGACACATGTCATGACAGAAGTGTGCACAAGTGCTAATGATATCGCTGTGAAATAAAAATCATGCCGTTTCTTGGATAAAATTCAGGATGACGTTGACGAAGCAATTAAAGTTTTGAAGGTACGTTGATGAATTGTGTCAAATACGGAATATTTGAAACTTGCACTTTGGCGGATTTGCGTAACTCTTGTTATAGGAATATAGCAATGCATCGCCGCGTTTTAATCTTTTTGTCGATTACATTTTTTTATTAAGATATCTTTATATCAATTTAGGCCCGATTATACCAATGTTATTTGATTTTAAACGAAGTTTAAAAATCTCTTTTTTTGAAGCCAATAGAGAGACAGAAAGTTTTAAGCCTCCCTTAAAATTAAAATAACGTGCAATCAGGCTTTAATCATCTTTTAAACGATTTTGTGCTTTCTGGAAATGCAATGATGATAAGATTATCAAATTAATTAAATGATTTGAAGCTTACAAAAAAAATAAATGGAAAAGTATGATCTGAGTGTATATAAAATCGTAATTCATGCAATACATAGAATACAGAGCAAGAATTGTATATATAATTGT